ATTTAAATATCATAAAGTGGTAGCTATCCCAACATTGGGATAAGCATAGGAACTTGAGGAACTCAACTTCTTCAAGCCTCATTAACCTCTACGGGATTGGTGTCCCGTATACAGGACGGTTGAGCTAACGTGCGCTAATGTTATTAGCATGACTGTTGTAAGTAACAGCAAACTTTCCAGGACATAGACATGTCTTATATGGGCAGAAGGCTTAAATTCTTGTTAATCTAACTGCACTGTCCAATTTACAGTAGCTATTACAGTGAAAAAATACCATGCTATTGTTTGAGGAGAGTGCACAACAACAAAAAACGTATCACGGCAACTGGTTTGATACATTCACCTCTGAAGGTAAATACTGTACTTACATTCAGTATTCTTGCTCTGATTTGTCATTCTGAGGGTCCCAGAGATAAAATGTAGCATAGTTTTGTTTGATAAAATTAATTTTTATATTTAAATGTAGGAACTGGGTTCTGCAGTTTGACCCTTGCTGTCTCTGGCTCCACACCCACACCCCCCGGCCATCTAGATGTGTGAAAGTTAGTGTATAAGCTAATGAACCATTATGTATGACATTCCTGGGAGTGTGTAAACTTACATTTTATATTACCATATAATTGTTGTATGTTTTCTATAGTTATGTACTTGAAAATGTATCAATTGACCAATTCGGCACATTTGGGCAGACTTGATACAAAATAGTCCAGTATTGCAATGCTTCACTGCAATATTATATTGTGGCCACAATATAATATTATACAATATTATATTGTGGCCCTTCTCTTGCATTTCAAAGATGATGGAACAAAAAAATGAATGTCTCACTTCCTCAGCTCACTTCAGCGGGAATTGCTGGAGATTTTACACCCAATTGAGCGAATCAGAGGCCTTTATTGCCGCCCTCATCACTCCACAAGTGGCAGAGGGGACTCTGGCTGCTGAATGGTGCTTTGTGTGCTGTTTTCCTAAGAGGGGCCCTCGCTCTACCTCTCATCTGTCACAGACAGGTCCCTCTGCCTCCACGCTCCACAATGGCCTATTGTTTCTCCGGAATAGTCAGGTTTCCATGTTTCCAGGTTCCAGGAGTGAATGATGAACTCCTGCCAAATTCTGACCCCCCATCTTTTTTCGCTTGAGCTCACGAAGGCATTATAAATAACCCTCAACTTTTTGGGGGGAGTTAAAATGCTCCCCTGTCGTCCTCTTCCGGCAAACAACGTCCATTGATATTGGTTGGGGGAGTGTGTTTTTGGAAATGCCAAAAGGCTTTTATACATTTTCTATGGCGAGAGATGGAAGAAACTATATTAACCAGAAGTACCCCTAATGTAGAACCATGAGTAGAAAATATGCCCCCTTGGCCTTACTATGGAAAGAAAATGCTTAAACATGAACTTCATGCAGCTATTTTGTATCCAGCAGTTAAATTAGATTGAAACAGCTACTTGTTTTTGTGGAATATCAGGTAGCCATTTTCCTCAACATGACTAAAGTGGTAAAAGGCATATGTGATTGACACTGTCTCACAGTGTCTGGTCTGTTTCCTTATCAATCTTGAAATCTCTTGTGTCATGGAGATACAATACATTTGATATGTTTGCTCGACTTTCCGAGAGATATTATTGAATGCAACTTCGAGGGAAGCAATTTGGTTTCGATACTCTAATAGTGTGTAAATATTTATCTGGAAACGTGTAGTGGTCGGTCAGGGATGTTGGCCTAGGTTGCCCTAGTCGGTTTGGAGCCACAGGCCTGGTAATCATGAGAAAAAGATTAATAGAGTGTTTTGTTAGGACCACTGTCTCATCATGGTCTCATCAGTGTCTGCAGGAAGCCAGAGTCATTCTTTTGTTGGGCTCCCAGCGGGAACATTCTCTACTTCAGGGAAAATGGCCGCCACCGCCTCGACTATAATTAGAACATTTCTACATTCCTCTCCTGAGGCTTCCTCCAGGCATCTCAAACTGTAGTAATATTTGGTTTACAGTGAAGTAAAGGCTGACGTCTCTGGGCGTTTCTCTGTCTCTTTCTCTCTGTGTGCCTCATCAGATGTATATTAACAGCCATTGCTCCAAGGTAAGTTGAGTAGAGGTGTGTGTGTAGATGGGAATGTCCTTCATTCATGCTCCTTTGTGTACAACTATTGATTTCATCACATACACTATATAGCCAAAAGTATGTGGACACCGCTTCTTAGACTTGCTTTCAATGAAAATGACATTCTCATTAGTCGCACAAAAAGTTACATATTGCAGCTTTAAAACTTTCACTGAATGTTTCAATAAAACTGCTAGCGTATTTGGGATTAAGCACAGATAGGACACATTGAAATGTATTTCCTTAGGCATTAATGATGCAAACACATTTATTTTTTATTATGAAACGGCATCAGGGAGAGTCAAACCTACACTACATGACCAAAAGTATGTGGACAACTGCTTGTCGAACATCTAATTCCAAAATCATGGGTATTAATATGGCATTGGTCCCCCCTTTGCTGCTATAACAGCCTCCACTCTTCTGGGAAGGCTTTCCACTAGGTGTTGGAACATTGCTGCGGGGACTTGCTTCCTTTCAGCCACAAGAGCGTTAGTGAGGTTGGGCATTGATGTTGGGCGATTAGGCCTGGATCGTAGTCGGCGTTCCAATTCATCCCAAAGGTGTTCGATGGGGTTGAGGTCAGGGCTCTGTGCAGACCAGTCAAGATCTTCCACACCAATCTTGACAAACCATTTCTGTATGGACCTCGCTTTATGCACGGGGGCATTGTCATGCTGAAACAGGAAAGTGCCTTCCCCAAACTCTTGCCACAAAGTTGGAAGCACAGAATCATCTAGAATGTCATTGTATGCTGTAGCGTTAACATTTCCCTTCACTGGAACTAAGAGGCCTAGCCCGAACTATGAAAAACCGCCCCCAGACCATTATTCCTCCTCCACCAAACTTTACAGTTGGCACTATGCATTGGGGCAGGTTGCGTTCTCCTGGCATTCGACAAACCCAGATTAGTCCGTCAGAATACCAGATAGTGTAGCGTGATTCATCACTCCAGAGAACGCATTTCCACTGCTCCAGAGTCCAATGGCGGCAAGCTATACACCACTCCAGCCGACGTTTGGCATTGCGCGTGATGATCTTGGTCTTGTGTGCGGCTGCTTGGCCATGGAAACCCATTTCATGAAGCTCCCAATGATCAGTTCTTGTGCTGACGTTTCTTCCAGAGGTAGTTTGGAACTTTGGTAGTGAGTGTTGCAACTGAGGACAGACAATTTTTACACGCTTCAGCACTTGGCGGTCCCGTTCTGTAAGCTTGTGTGGCCTACCACTTCGCGGCTGAGCCGCTGTTGCTCCTAGACGTTTCCACTTCACAATAACAGCACTTACAGTTGACCGGGGCAGCTCTAGCAGGGCAGAAATTTGACGAACTGATCTGTTGGAAAGGTGGCATCCTATGACGTTGCCATGTTGAAAGTCACTGAGCTCTTCAGTAAGGCCATTCTACTGCTAATGTTTGTCTATGGAGATTGCATGGCTGTGTGCTCGATTTTATACACCTGTCAGCAACGGGTGTGGCTGAAATAGTCGAATCCACTCATTTGAAGGAGTGTCCACATACTTTTGTATATATAGTGTATCATCCGCAATGGTTGGGCTCTTCATTGATGGCCGTCAATGTAAGCCTGAGATCATTTGAACGAAAGTGATGAAAAATTGTTATTGCTAGATGACCATAGTGTCTGTTTGAGGACTAAACATCAATGCATTCTTGTTATCATAGTTTGTTTTGCCGCTATAGCTAACACAAAGCAAACCCTTGCCTCACTCAATCATATTGTGCCTGATATTGCCAATGGAGATTGCTATTTTCTATGATTGGGTCTGGCTAATGCTAACTAATTACACGCGGTCTGTTGGTCTCGCTAACGCTAACAAACAGCCCAGGGTCTGTTGTGTGATGAAACTATCAATGGCAGTGATTTATGAGGTCCAGGCATTCCAGGCCATATGAAATCTCAGTTCCAAGAAGCTAGCTAACTCTTAAGCACCCATAAACACAGCAAGCGGCAATATTGTCAGCCCTTTCTTTTTTAATGACATGATCCACATCAGATGATGTCATCAGTGTCTCCAGATGATGTCATCAGAAACACTTATATTTTTCTATATTTTTAACTACAGAACATAGAACCCGACATTTTCACATATGTTGACATTGCGGTGGTGCTGGAGATTATGCATTTTATGTTGAAAAATAGTGAATTTTCCCTTTATGTAGGTAGTGTGCATGATAGCAATACAGAGGAATACAGTAGATGTATTTGGGGGTGTAATTAACCGATGCTATCATCAGTGTCACAGAAGGGTCAGGACTGGTGTCAGATGTCATCTTTGCAAGGACGGCCATATGCAAGGGGCCTCTCCTGTCCAAGTTTGGCTTTGCTCACAATCACACAACCATCTCACACCCTTTGACCACACACACATATGTAAGCATACACATACACACACACACACACACACACACACACAATGCTAGTGCTGACCCTGCCCCCTCTCTCCAAGTTTCCTTTCAGCACATATTATGTATAATTTTCTCCAGTTGACAGTTACAGAACCCCCACCTCAGATCCACTGTATATGCTTCTATCAAATCACTGTAGACACCTACTACTGTGGGACACCTGCTACCCTTCCCTTCCCATTTGATCTGACTCTCTCTCTCCCTGTTTTAGATATTTGAGTAAAGGTTAGATTTGTGTATTAGGGGGCCCAAGAGACAGAATACCATCCTGCGTGATTTATGGAGTGCTAATACTGGTCTACTTCATAGAATATTAGGTCTTGATTCTCTTTGGCGTAAAACACAACTCTCGTGTTCCCACTTTATAATCCCATTTGGCTTGAGTCCTGATTCTCCACAAGTGTGCACTTGCACACTCCCTGTCATGGATTTGATATCATATGATTGGTGTAAGCATTACACCATTGTTAAATCCATGACAGTAAGTGTGCAAAGGTACACTTTGGGAAAAGAGTGGAGAATTGGCATGCAGCTTTTGTATTGGCAATCAACACTTAACAATAGTTTTGAAGGGGTTTGTGTGTAAAGTAATTGCAGCAAATGATTTATTGACATGGTAAGGTGAGGTGGTGGCGTTAGGAAATACAGGTTTACACAGAAGCCCACTTGACTCAAGCCACTCCCAGCTAGCACATAACGTTCTGAAAACCATATGTTTCTTAGCGTGGTTGTCCTACAGAATGGTTATTTTGCATTCAACCTACATACAACTTTCTGGGAATGGTGCAGGATATTTGCTTGACTTTTGAACACTCTCAGCACATTTAAGGAACTTGACAAAATAACTTTATTTCATTACTTTAACAGAACATTTCCTAAAAGTTCAAACATGGTTACATTACATTTAATTTCAAGTTTGGTAATGTTCTAGGAATGTTCTCCAACTGGTTTGAAATTGGGAATGTTCTCAAATAGTTCAGAGAACTTTAAGAAACAACGTTCCTCTGTGTGAATTCCAGTACTTCAGCATAACGTTCCCTACAGGTTTCCTCATGGTTCTATTTAAAGTAATGTTCTCAAATTGTTCCAAGAATGTTACGAAACAACGTTCTTCTGTGGGAATTCCAGTACTTCAGCATAACGTTTCCTACAGGTTTCCTCATGGTTCTATTTAAAGTCATGTTCTCAAATTGTTCAGAGAACGTTAAGAAAACTTTCCATAAAAACCACAAGAAAACATTAGTGACGTTCTAAGAATGTTATTTAAAAATATATACCTTCTGTTCTCAGCATCAACAAAACTCTCTCTATCCTCTATCTTTTTAATTGTGTTCAGGTGTGTTGGCCGTGAACACTAATTGGCCACACCTGATCTTAATGAGTGCTTGTTTCCTTTTAAATGGGGTCTTTTTGAATAGACTAAAATTAACAGCTTTATGCGTAAAAAACAATAACATTGCATGCTAGCTCCATCCTGGTGGCGGAGTGGACTAATTCCATGGATACACAACAGACGATTATAGGTTTGAATCTCCCTGATGCATGATTAATGCCTAAGGAAATGAATTTCTATCTGTGCTTAATCCCAAATAAACTAGCAGTCTCATTGAAACATTCAGTGAAAGTTTTAAAGCTGCTATATGTAACTTTTTGTGCGACTAATGAGAATGTAATTCTCATTGAAAGCAAGTCTAATAAGCGGTAGCTCTCTTCTAAGTGTGCTATTTCTTTGCTTCCTGTTCTTAAGTTTTGTTTTTCCGTCTTTTACTTTCGGTTTTGTAAAAACAGCTAAAGGTACAATATTTTGGGTTATTGAAAATATATGATTCTCTACATTATGCATTGCTTGTTTTGTCACAAACTGAAATTAGGCGAACAATTCGAATTTTAGCAACCAGGAAATGGCAGAGAGATTTCTGCATATTGCACCTTTAAGGAAGTTATTCAAAAACCTCCAAATAAACTATAAGTTCCGTTCTCAGAGCATTAATAAAACCTCCCAGAAAAAATGAAGAAGAAGACAGAGAAAACCCTGTGCACAGCAGTGCTTTTAAATCCAGATGCTAGTTTTGGCAGGAACAACTAGTATTAAAAAAACAAGTGTAAAAACCCCACTAGAAAGACTTGATTTGCAGTGTAGTTGTGATTGTCTTCCTAATGATGGACCTCAATACTCGAGTTCTAGGAATCAGTAGGCGATGGAGTCACACCACTGATAAACACCCAAACTCTGATGTGGGTCTTATCTCCGTTTGATCTGCCATCAGCAACATCAGCTTAAGCCAGGAAGTTTTCCTGTGGTTCACGATTTCTTCATCACACTTCCGTCGATCAGTGTGATTGTGACGGATAAGAAAAGGTATTTTCCTGTCTTCTTCTCCAGAGCATTCTATCATCCCAACATCCACCCTAATCCTGGAATGTTAGGGGTTTTTCCCAGCAGGTGCATATCTGTTTCAAGATTGATATACTGTAGAGATGCATGAATATTGAGGAAATTCATATTTTTTCCCCATCTTCCTGTTTCCTTATAGAATGATGTCTTCTAAACGAGCCACACCTCCGTTTCCCCCGGCGACAGAGGAAGACGAAGCGATGGGTCAGGACAGTGTGGGCGGGGCCAATGAGGAAAGAGAAAGCCATGACAAGCCAGTCATGCCCCCTCTGCACGGCAAAGCCCTCCCAGAGGAGCACCAGCCAATAAGAGACAGCCAGCCTGAGTCGGACTGGGAGAGTATAGGCCCTACTCAGACAGTGAGACACACACAAACACACACTCTCCATCAGATTGACACACTGTCACTGAGCCCTATACAGAGGAATCTTCCTCTTTAAGACAAATGCCTCTTGAAACAGTTTCAAGGATGTCTTAAGATGTCGCTGTTAGTCAAAGCCCCTTGTCTTTGAAACATAAGCCATCGAAAGTTCTTGGAGGAGAAAACATACAGAAATAAACCTCTCGTCAGGCCACATGTGCTAGAGTGTCTACTGATGGACAATGTGGATTTAATACCAAACAGTATGGTTGCGTCCCAAACGACACCATATTCCCTATATAGTGCACTACTTTTGACCAGAGCCCATAGAGGGGTAACATTTGGGATGCAACTGTCTCTGCTACTATATCTCTGCTACGATATAACTGGCCCCTGAATGCCCTTTGCCCTATGATGTCATAAGTGTAGCACATGACTACGTAATAAAGCTACAAATACATGCAATTCTGGACTGAGAGACTGCTAGCATAACATTTACATCATTTAGCAGACAATCTTATCCAGAGCGACTTACAAATTGGTGCATTCAACTTATGATAGCCAGTGGGACAACCACTTTTTTTTTATGTGGGGGAGGGGGGGGGGGGTAGATATGTTAGCTGATGGAAGGAAGATGTAAGTTATGTTTATTTAATGTCACAATAACTCATTGTCCTACAAAAAGCATGGCTGAATCACTCGCCCCAAATGGCCATACTTAGTCCTGTGGGATTATTTGCTGTAGGGTCAGAGTTGGCTCTTTTTAACCTGAAAAACACCACTATCTCCATGTATGACAGGTATAAAATGTACCTTTCACCCTTGCCCCACAGGCTATGTGTGACCTGTGTCATTCTTCTGTATTGAGTTGCATTCGTTAATCACAAGATGGAGGGAGTGGATATCCATAACCGTGTATATAGTGCACTATATAAGGGGACTGCCTTTGTTGCGAAACCCCTGAGTTATTGTGTCTGTCCCAAATGGCACCCTATTCCCTATATAGTGCACTACTTTTAACCAGAGCCCTATGGGTAGTGCACTACATAGGGAATAGGAAGCCGTTTGGGACACATATCTCAACTTGACCTTTCCACACTGCCATGCCAGTCCCTCTGTGCCAAGGTGTCACTCTCTGGCTGCCAATACAGAGATTTGCAACCTGGCCCGAGTCTAAATTCTGCCGTAAGAAGATGATTGCCATGATTTAAACAACAACACCCACAGCAACAACAACCGCAAACATTAGTCTAGGGATATCAATAGAGAGGTGGTGAAAAGTAAAAAGTAGGTATAGAAATAGATTGTATTTTAAGTTACACTTAACTTTGTGGTGAGTGATTAGTTGAAGTAATGGCCATAAGCTACTAAAGAAAAAGTCATAGTATTGTCATTCCACTAATTCCAAAACACCCCTGTTGTATTTGTTCCTATAGGACAATGCTAGTAGCAAGGGCTGTTCCTTGAACTCCTACCGGAATGACACTACATCTCCACCAAAGCCTGAGGAGTGTTCCCAGGAGTGCGGTGAGCTGCTAGGCGGATCCGCCTTCAGAACACCGGAGCGCCGCAAAGGAAGCCTGGCCGACGTGGTGGACACACTGAAACAGAAGAAACTGGTAGAGCTGACAAAGACAGAACAGGATGGTAGGAGATGTCCTATAACACCCCTCTCTCTGTGTGCATGCGTATGTGAGCTCTCCTGCACATGTGTGTGCGTGTGATTGTGTGTGTGCGTGCATGCTCGCCTGCGTAAATACAGTATGTTCAGCCTTTACTTTGTGTCCAGATCCTCTTCGGAGGATCTTTGAACCTTTCAATGAGTGACAAATCCCCCACCCATAGATCATATATCTGTGAGAAGTGAAATCACTAGTTTCCCTTTTCTCACCCTCAGATCTGGGTCCTCACATCAGGCTAGTGGTTGACTCCCATTGCATGCCCCTGCATGCGCCTGTACCCCACAGCTATGGAGTTCTATCAACTCTCTGTACTGTTATGCTACACATTGTAATTGTCATGATATCAGAGGCCCCGCTGATCTTTCATCTTAAATGCTTCACTTTGTTATTGATATAGTGGAGTGTAGAGTAGTGATCTCTAGAGCCGGATAGCCAAAGGCATCGCAGCTTTTTTGCAATGTCTTCTGTACTGTAGATCAGGGTTTCTTAAACTATGGGTTGGGACCCAAAGTGGGCCCTAAGCATGTAAGAGGTGGGTCGCAAGATATGAGAATGCATCTACTGTATAATCACAAACGTTTATTCTCAATTTGGGTCACGGGAGGACGGTCAATTTCTCATTTTGGGTCTTGAGCTGAAAATGTTTAAGAACCCCTGCTGAAGCCTTTTGTTTACTGTGAGTGAGCCCTCTTCATGGGTGTGTGTGGTTTTTCAAGTTTTAAACTTTATTTGCCATGTGCACAGGATATTACAGGTTTAAAACAGTACAGTGAAATTCTTACCTTGAGATCTCTTTCCCAACAATGCAGTGATAATAATAATAATAATAATAATAATAATAACAAATAATACAATTTAAAAAAACACAAGAACTGCGATGTGAGTTAGAAACACGAGAATTCCAGTATATACAGCTCAGTGCCAGTACCTTATTCAATGTGCAGGGGTACTGGAGTGGTTGAGGTGGGTTTATACATAAAAAGTGTGTTGCACGGTATACCGAAACTTCTGTACTTTTTCGATACTAGAACATGAAAAATGGTTCGGTGCTAGATTATTTTTTATTTTTGGTACTTCTAAAAAATGTGTCTCACGGATCAACTCTATCGGCGATGTCACCCTTTTAGCACGAAAGCACTGTGCCTGCTCCACTTAGCCTGCACTGGGAGTCTGGGCTGCATCATGTTAGCTCCCCACTCATGCTGCACAGAAGTTAACACACTTGAATAATGCAACACGGCATGTAGAAATGTTGAAACTGTTAATTACTGTTCGCAAAACAATGTCCATACAGCCTAGAACACTTTACAATGCAAGAAGATACCGGGACTGCTTTATAGACTAACTGTTCTTGCTAGCTTACAACTGAAGCTATCATAAATTCACTACCCTGGTACTTTGTTTGTGATAATATGCAAACCATAACACACAATATGCTGATTTCAAAGCTGATTGCCACCAAAACTTTATTAATTCACTTAATGGGTCTCTCGGTCTCATTACTGGTTAAAGAGACAGCGCACCCTTTTATACAATAAGCTCTTTCTATGCAAATGTTGTTGATGTCACGCTCTGGCTCCGGGACTGTGTATTTTGAGCCAGGGTGTGTTCATTTGGTTGTGTTGTATTTGGTTGTGTTTCATTGTTTGGTCGTGTGACTCCCAATCAGTGGTAACGAGTGTCAGCTGTCGGCTCGTTATCTCTGATTGGGAGCCATATTTAAACTGTCAGTGTTCACCTTAGTGTTGTGGGTTTTTGTTCCTTGTCAGTCATTGTAACGGAGGACTTCACGTTTCGTCTTTGTTTGTTGTTTTTGTAGTGAGTACGTTCATTTAATAAAGTCATGTTCGCTCAACGCGCTGCGTATTGGTCTGCACCTTTTGAAGACGATCGTGACAGTTGATCAGTACAATAAAATAAGTCCCAAATGGAAGGGAAACAGATTATCTTCTGTAGCCCCATGAAATCAGCCAAAACAAGCTCAATAACTTAATGAATGCTCACACTCCTATTGAATATGCATTCATGTCAATAGGCCTAGGCTACATCTTCATTTAACCAGTTTATCAATAGAGATTTAACATTCAAATAAATTATCACTATGCTATGTAGTTAGATTGGTAAAGACAAAGTCAAATTGATTGTATGATTGTATAATTGATTCATTAATGCATACATGGCTGTCTCTGAAAAATGTAACCCACGGCCTCGATTCGGTCTTGTGTAGCAAAATGTGATTTGTGTTTTTCACATAGGATAAAAGTAAAGACTACAAAATGGTATATCATACACTGCAGTTGAGGAACAATTGGAAAGTAATTCTGCTTTGAAAGTTGATAAACTTGTAATCCCATTTGAATGTTTTCGTACACCTACTGGAGAGCTCTTCTTAGCCCCACCCATCTCTTTAAGGATTCACATGTGAGGCCATGTGCTAAACAGAGTGAGTAAGGTAGTGTAGTAAACAACCAAAGATTTCAAGACTAAAAGTGGTGAAAGTAGTAGCTTACAATAAGGAAAAATTCCAGGTAAAAATACACTTAATCTAGTCCTTGGCCTATATCCTAATCAGACTTTGAAAGTGTCCAGATAAAAATATTGTATAAATATTTAATAATTATGAGATGACGCTTACCCAGACACTTGTCTAAATTGATGGGTAATGTGAAAGAAATACTATAACCACCCCCCAGCCACATCTAGCTAAGTGGATGGGTCACTATTGTCTAGACATGTACACATGTTCATGAAATACAATAGATGGCCGTAATCACCCCCAGACACACCTGGCTAACTTGTGAAGTGGAGTCTTTTGTTTAGACATGTAGCTAGCTAACTAGCTAAACAATGAACCATAATCCCAACCCATAGCTACATTACAAACAGATTGTAATAGCTAGCCACTATGCATGAAATGGTGGAATATGAATCTGCAGGTTGCTAAAGCTGACCAACGAGGTTCAATGTTAGCTAGCTAGCTAACATTAGGCTATAACTTGCAATGAAAATGACTTTTACCATTATACATGGATGAACGCTTCATGGTAGCATGTCTTTTCCGTTTGGTTTGTAGCTAGCTACATCTTGTTTGGCCTGTTATTGTGTCAAGTCACTCCGGTTCACACTGACCATGTGCATATAGTAGTCCATCATAACTTTTTCCCACCGATCTTTGTTGATAGCGCCTGCTAAATTCTGGACAGCAATGTTGAGAGCAGTAGCAACACTTGTGCAGATCTCCATGGCTAACATTATATTTTTCAAAAAGCCGCGGTAGCAAGGATTATCTACATGGCAGAACAAACCGAACTCATCTGTCGGCATGTCCAGCCCATCCATTATCTCAGCCAATCATGGCTAGCGGGAAGGTTCCTGTCTTTTTCCGTGACTAAACCAGCTAGGCTCGTAAATTAACCATTTTATTTGTATTTACAGATGGTATACAAGTTTGTTAATAAGGCACATGAAAGTTCACATGATCCAGAAGGCATTTCTGCCGAAAAACTCATTTTGATAAAAATATAAAAAACGTTCAAATGCCTCTCCTGTGAAGTAGTGACGTGCGACATACACCTAGCTTCTTGAAACGGGTCCCAAATATAAAATGTAATGATATTGAACTCAAAAGATGGCCAACAATTGAATGGAGCAGTAGCTGAGTTTCAGTCTGGATCAAGTGCCATTCTGTGACTTTGGTTAATATGCCTTTTTTTGCAGTGGTATTGTTTTGGTATTGAGTATCGTGATGGTATCGAGAATTATGATACTAAACCTGGTATCAAAGTCAAAATTCTGGTATCATGAGAACACTAACTGGTAGTAGGATTTCCATGTAAACAGGGTTGAAAAGTGACTGATAGCAGGAATATATAAATGGTGTTATACTAATGGTAATACAGTGCATTCGGAGAGTATTCAGATCCACAGGTACACCTCCAATTGACTCAAATTATGTCAATTAGCCTATCAGAAGCTTCTAAAGCCATGACATAATTTTCTGGAATTTTCCAAGCTGTTTAAAGGCACAGTCAACTTAGTGTATGTAAACTTCTGACCCACTGGAATTGTGATACAGTGAATTATAAGTGAAATAATCTGTCTGTAAACAATTGTTGTAAAAATGACTTGTGTCATGCACAAAGTAGATGTCCTAACTGACTTGCCAAAACTATAGTTTGTTAACAAGAAATTTGTGGAGTGGTTGAAAAACAAGTTTTAATGACTCCAACATAAGTGAATGTAAACTTCCGACTTCAACTGAATGTGCTATCTACATCAACAGTGCAGTACATTAATCAATAATAACAATAAAGAGTCAATTCAAAAATAACAAGTAATAGAAGAGGTAGTATGCATAGTAATAATGGACTGTATTTATAAATATAAAGTGTGTAGTGAAATCAATAGTATATATTAGAACAGCAGCGTTGACTGTGTGTGTGTTTATGGGTGTGTGTGTGTGTGTGTTTGTATGTAAGTTTGTGTGTAAGGGTAATATACAGTATATTTTAATACTAGAAAAAGTAGTTAACAGAATTCTATGTGTAAAATTAAATAAATTCATATAATCAAAGCACTAATTTAGCTTCCTAAATTGCCCTCTGTCATTAAAGAATGTATAGGAACAGACAGTGGTGAAATATACAGTAACGGTACTTTGTTAGCGAATTAAAACAGGCCTATTGTTTCACTCCTACAGTGAGGGAAAAAAGTATTTGATCCCCTGCTGATTTTGTACGTTTGCCCACTGACAAAGAAATGATCAGTCTATAATTTTAATGATAGGTTTATTTGAACAGTGAGAGACAGAATAACAACAAAAAAATCCAGAAAAACAAATGGGGGATTGGAAGTGATGCAGACAATTACATTGATGGAAGTTACAATATATCTGCAATATTAAAGCTGATCTACCCCCTTAAGAAAAAAAGAAAAAATATATTTTAAATGAAATAGTGATCCATTCATACTACTACATTCGTCGTCACACCAGACCACATGCTGACACAGACCAATCACTGGCCGGCAGGCTGTGAGGAGGCTCGCGCCCTCATGTACACTCTTCTCGACTGTTTATGTCCAAGGCTTTGACGCCGACGTCATCTAGTAGCATTGGGTTGATTCTCTCAGGCAGGATGAAAACGACTAAATTGATCATGATCATTTGCTAGTCACGGCCACTTTCACCTTGATCCTGATTTTTTGGTGCTATTCCGCCCCATTCAGCAATATGGCGCTT